TAGCTCTGTCAGGCAAAGGTGCCTACGCAGGTGTTAGCTGCCACTTAGAATCATAGAATGGTTAGGGTTGGAAGGGACCTCAAAGATCATCTAGTTCCAACTCCCCTGCCATGGGCAGGGACACCCTCCACTACACCAGATTGCCCAAAGCCTTATCCAACCTGGCCTTGGACACTTCCAGGGATGGGGCAGCCACAACTTCTCTGGGCAACCTGTTCCAGTGCCTCACCACCCTCAGAGTGAAAAATTTCTTCCTTATATCTAATCTAAATCTGCCCTCTTTCAATTTAAAGCCATTACCCCTTCTCCTATCACTACATGGCCTTGTAAAAAGCCCCTCTCCCGCTTTCCTGTAGGCCCCCTTTAAGTGCTGGAAGGCTGCAATAAGATCACCCCGGAGCCTTCTCTTCTCCAGGCTGAACAGCCCCAACTCTCTCAGCCTGTCTCCATAGCAGAGGTGCTCCAGCCCTCAATGGCCTCCTCTGGACCCGCTCCAGCAGCTCCATGTCCTTCTTGTGTTGGGGACTCCAGAGCTGAACGCAGCACTGCAGGGGGGGTCTCACGAGAGCAGAGCAGAGAGGCAGAATCCCCTCCCTCGACCTGCTGCCCATGCTGCTTTTGATGCAGCCCAGGACACGGTTGGCTTTCTGGGCTGCCAGTGCACGGACACTTGGACTGTCTTTGCGGAAAATTTACACGATGAAGCTATTTGCTCTTGAGACTCCAATGTTTGCCAGTGCTGATGGGAAGTAAAGCATGTCTGTGCACGTGCTACTGCGCATGGCACGTGTGCTGGCTTGCCAGTCTGAGCAGAAGGAGCACCAAACCCCTACTGTTCCCACTGTCCACCAGAACGATAGTGAGCTTGGTATGGAACAGGGCTGAAATTTGTGTGTTTGGATGTTTGGAGCCCAGAAGAGGAGGAAGCGAAGGGGATGTTTTCCACAAGCCTGTAGGAAATGAGTCTCTCAGGGTTGTGGTTTGCACCACAGTGCTCTCAGGGTTGTGGTACACACAGTGTTAGATTTCGATATAGATGTTAAAGAATTTATAGAATAAAGTCATGTATGGGTTTGGACAGGCTTTGGACTTTTTTTTTTTGAAGGCCTACATTTTAAGGTTGAAAAACTAAATTGGCTAGGTTTTCCCAGCTTCTCCACAGAAACCCTAAATTCTTTCAAAATATGTGTTGACTGTTGTTGGTACAGGTAACAATTAACAGTGGTTACATTCTTCATGGGGAATATTTCCTGTCAGCGTGGGGTTGGGTTTTTAAGCATTTGGGAGATTACACTGTGTTCTTCTGCACATGGTGATTCTTTGCTTTGTAGCTACAACAGCCTTTCCTTGTCTTACGGTGTTCTCTCTCTTATTGTGCCACCAAGAGGGAAAAGATGCTTTGGTAGAAGAGTGTGTTGTCAGCAGCAGATAATTTTGCAGCTGGAAGACATTTTAGGGCTTTTCTACATAAGGGTTATTGAGGAGGGGAAAAATAATGCTAATTTAAAGGCAAATCACCCTTTAGAAATAACTCAAAGCAGAGGAGATCATCAGACTTTCTAAAATAAGGTGACCCTCCAGCTTTTCAGCTGCTTGTCATGGGTTCAGGAGAAATCACTAATCCTAAAATGTAACCCTTTCTTCATTGTAGGCTTCTACCAGAGCAAGGGCATTTGTTGTTCTTCCTTAATTTGTCTTTTCTCAAGGTGCAATTTTGATGTTTCAGTATTTGAAAGGTCAGAAGTTAGTGGCGTACTTGTAGAATTTAAGTCTTGCTTTTGGTTTTCATTTGTGCTTCGTAATGGGTAAATTATGAGGTCTAAAAGACTGTCTTAAATTATTTTTGTGTATGTGTTGATTATACACAAATGAAACTATTTAAATTCTTCCTCTCCGTCCCTTGCTAGTCTTATTAGAGATTACACATTTTTCTTGGAAGTAATTTATTATGAAAATAAACACCAAGAAAGCTGCTCAAGACATTACGGGCATTTCTATTGATATTAATTTCAAAATGTTAATTTCAAAACCTGCTAATGCAGTAGCTATAAAGGGCTAACTGAAATTCCTTCTACTTAACAGAGAAAGTGAAAGCTTACAGGTTAAGGTACTGCCTCTGAATAAATCTCCTTACACCACGGACTTCTAGTCTAGACAGACGATAAAATTTTAACCTACAGAGAATATAAACAAACAGGAGAAACTTAAATCAAACTAACAAAACTCTCAGCATTTCATCATCAGCAACCGAGCTGCTGCCTCCTCCCCCTGTGCTTGGTGTTCATCTTGATTAATCCAGATCAGCGCAGGGAATTCGGTGGGGGACTGTTAACATTCACACAGACCCAATTAAAATGTTTTATGAGTAGAAGGTATACATTAAGTGACATAACCTTGACTTGGCTAATAGAATAAATGAAAAGTAAAGGGCTTGCTTTGCCACAGTGTGTGTAATGCAGCCATTTTATACCTTATAAAGTTGTTATATAATATTTCTAGTTGATTCGATAGCATTTTATATTAATCACCAGTCTACACAACTATGTTACTACAACGTGCAAGCATTTAGAGTTCTTAATGGGAGAATCTCCAGATTCATTAAGACAAACTCCTGTCTCTGGACCTGAATGCTAAAAACTCTTTTGAATGTCTTTCAGTTTAGAGTTTGCTTTGTCATGTTTTTAAGACTACTTCTAGAAAATATTTCTGGTCTTCAGAATTGTAAATGAATTTTGGGGAGATGTTTTGTGGGGTTTGTTTTTCTTTTGGTTTTGCGGGGAAATGAAGAGGGTTTACCTTACCTGTTACCCAAAGCACAAGGCAGACAGTCACTAGCAGTGACTCCAGTGAGCTCGTGTATAGAACAATACTATTTGATAACATCAAAACATGTCTCAATCTTCATACATTTTTCTGATTAAACAGATCAATAGGAAGTGTTTCTGTCTCTGTTATATCCTTGCTTGCTGCAGCCACTAGGATGCTTAAGGTTGAATTTTTGTATTGAAAATATAACTGTAGTGTTTCTTTGTGTGGCTGCAATCACTTATTTTTCCATTTAGTTTTCTGTAGCTGGGATGGATTTCACCCAGAGCAAAAATGAAAAGCGTTATGCTTTCTTTTTCTCAACCAAAGGCCTTGAGGATTTCATTTCCTGAACTACTTCAAAAATGTGTTTGTTATGTCACAAGACAAAAGCAAGGATGTTATCACTTAGTCCTGACACAGAATTGTCTGAGTGAGTCGGAGTACAGAGATGCACCACGGATCATGACCTGTAATTCTCATTTCGCATAATTTCAAACTGTTCTCGAGAGTACTGTATCCACACCTCCCTAGCAACATGGCCACTCAGCTCTTTAACACGTCTTTCTACATGTCATCTTGGTCATTGCCTTCTTTCCCAGGTGAGGGCTTTTACTTTTCATCCTTGTCTGCCTGGAAGTTGTTCTTTAGCTTAAATAATAAGTTAACAGATTGTGGGTTTTCTTCCAAATTCCTTTTGATATTCAACAGTTTTATATTAAAAAATGGAAAGAGAATTATTTTTTAAAAATATTTACCTCCTGCCACTACTGTAGCAGTTTATTATGTAAAATGCAGAAAGAAGCTCATGGAAAGAAGGTGCTTTCAAGTAATAACTCGGAGGTCTCTGTGTTAATTTAGTAATTCTCCTGTAGATCCAGGTGTAACTCTTGACTGCTCAGCTGTTGTATGGAACAGAATAGGATTGCCTGGTGTTGCCTGCATCGGAACTCAGAGGTCCTCAGACTTCTTTTTTTGTGCCTATCTGTGGTCTTCTCCGTTTTGAGAAGTATTTGTGCAGTGGCCTTCTGAGAGAACACACTTCCTGCAGGGTACGTCCTTCCCAAGAACATGCGGAGGAGATGCTGGGAGCAGAGCAAGGACTGGATTTAGGAGGTGGCTGAAATTGGTCTTGAGGAACGGAGTGGCATGGCTGAGGGTTTTTTTTAATGGATGTAATAGGAGGCAGGAGAAGTAACAGGATTTTTTTTTTTTATCAGGAGCTACTGTGCTGAGTTACTGTTCCACAGTGAGGACTTGAAACAAAAGGTAGTTTTGTTTGAAGAATGGGGGGTCTTTGTGTTGTTACCAGCAACCCCTTTTGTCTCTCGGAAGACTTTATCATCTGTCTTCTATTGCAGAACTCATGGCAATTCTATGTTCAAACAAGTCTAAAAACACCGCGTTTTAAGACGCAGTTGTAATGTAGGCTGTTGAAGCAGTAGCCTGTGAATGTTCTCCTGAGCAAGCAGCAGTGACCCAGCTCTAGACCAGGCTTGAAATGTCTGGATTTTGAGCAGTTTTATTTATTCTCTCCTGAACAAAGCCAGCTGTTAGTCACTGTGTTTAGACCTTTTGTGTCTGTATAAATGTGTAGCTATATAACAAATGCATATGTACGTTCACATGCATGCCTCTGTCTCTTTTTTAAGAAAACAACAGATTAACAGAAGACTGAAAAATAGAAAAGAATTAATTTTGGTAAAACCAGGAAAGACTAGATATGAAACAGGAGGAAATGTTCCTTCCTCTAATCTGATATTTGGAATACAAGACAGGTGGAAGGAGAGGATATAACAGAGTAATATACTTGCATTAAAGAATAGTTTTTATTTTGTCTCCTTAATACTACTAACAACTTTTCAAGCATCCAGGAGGTGTGCTTGCTATGTGTGAGAGTTGGGGGGCCTCTGACTGAGGGAAAGGTGTCAGGAGGGGAACTTCTTTTCTCTCAAATAATCAACAGATTAAAAAGTGTAAGAACCATCGTGTTGAAGTTGTGGTTCTTTAGTGTGTGGTATTTAGTAGACGTGGGCTATACGTGGCATCTTGTAGTGGTAGAAGACGAATATGAAATAGGAGTATATTTGAATACTGATTTGATCCAGCTGCAGAGAAAACATTGCTTGCATGTATGTTTAGCAGCTTTGATGTTTTTTCTTTCATGCCACGTTTTTTCTTTCATTTTCTTTCAGCTCTATGTGGCCACTGAAGCCATCCTCATCGCATTGGTGGGTGCAACTCCTCCCTACCACTGGGATCTCCAAGAGCTCCCAGCTAATCAGAGCCATAGCAACCAGTCAGCGAGTGAGCAGAGAGCTTTTGGGGAATGGCTTCTGACCGCCAATAGCAGCGAGGTGCACGAGCACGTACACTTCAGCAGCAGCTTCACGTCCATAGTCTCTGAGGTGGGTCTGAAACGTGTTTGGGTGCCTCGCATGTGAGGCGAAAACCACAAAAATGTGGTGCAAAATTTGCACCTAGCGAATTTTATTGGGTGGGTTGCAAGGGGCTGGTTGTGCTGCTTCTTTCTTCCATACTAATGCATTAATGAAACAGGTGCTGCCTCCAGGTAGGGAACAGGTATGAATGAAGAGGATATGAGTATTTATGCCACTATTTAAATTAAAATCCTAATGGATGGTGGATTTTTTTTAAGTATTATTTAAAGATCAGTAAGGTTTTCAAACTTTCTCTGGACTTTTTGGTTTTTGCTTTTTAATTTATCAAGGAATCTTTTATTCTCTTAAATTTGACGAGTCAGACATGTTTGTGGAGCCTAGCAGTGTTTTAGGATGTACATTTTGTAAAGATTCTTGTGCGTTTTAGTTGCATAAATAAGAAATGCAGGTAAAGGATGTTTACTTGAAAAAAACAACTAAAAAAAAAAATCCCGAGGCAACTTGTGTAGATTCTGCTTTGTAGTTCTAGAACATACTTTTCAGGAAAGGCCCATGTGTATAAAATCTTGCTACCTCTTCCATTTCTCACTGTTAAAATACAGAGATTTTTTCAAAGTTTGTTAGCCGAATGTGAATATTTGGAAGTTGAATTATGTGCTAAATACAAAGATTTTAGTGAGATTGCACTTAATTGGGGCATGTCACTACCTAATTCCATTACTGATGTGTAAAGAAGCTTTTTCTACATTTGAGGAGGATATTTTTAACGCTTATCTTGTGGCATCTCTTACCAGTAACACGACTATTGCAAACTTACTCTGAAAAATATTCTGATGTTAAAAGCTTGATTTATGAATAATCAAACGTGCTTATATAAAATGCTTTATGTAAAAGTCTTGAGCCCTTTAAAAGGGTGCTCAGCTGTGGAGATTAAGTGGCAGAACAAATTTTGCTTTGCCACTAAATTATCCCTGAATCTCCGAATGATTTGGAAAGCATCTAATGTCACTGAGTTTCAGTGTTGGCAGCTCTTTTAATTTTTATACCAAAAGTTCAGGCATGATTCTTGTAGCTCTTATAAAACAAACTGACCATGTTTTTTCAAGTTAAAATCAACCTCATATGCTATTACTATACAATTGTATTTTTCTGGGAGTTGTTTTTAAATTCTAGAGACGTTTCAAAGGCTGATTTGTGGTCACACGGTTAGTTTTAGAATTGAATTTTGTCAGTCTTGACACTTTATGGGCACATTACCTACTGTATCAGTAAGCACCTCACCATTAAAGTGGCAATTCAAAGTGAAGCCTACACTGAGTAGGCAAGTTATTTTCTCGGAGCTTCTGAATGGTTTTGTTTTGTTTTGTTAGCTCCCTAATCTTGGTGGGGTTTAATTGCATGGCTCTGTTCTCATGGTGAGATAGTTTATAACTGAGCTTTGAAATAATATAAGCTTTACTAGAAAGGGTATCTAATGGGATTTTGGTAGGGGAAGAGAAGATTACGAGAAGATTAGAATGTTATTGCAGGGATAATGACATAATCACCAGCTTACCAGCGCAGGAAGAAAAGTTGGGTGTCACTAAAAGGAAACGTTATCTCAAGATGCAAGAGGAACAGAAGAAGAAAAGAACACACGATGTGGGGTCTTTAGAATACAAAAGGAAATTACTTTTGAATAGTGAGAGCGTGGCAAATTTTCATTCTGTGGTTTTGTAGGGGAAAATTTCCTGTCAGGTTCAACCTGAGACATTGAGTCTGTAAGAATCAAACACGTGAAGACGGGGTTTGTATTTGGAGTTGAGAACTGGAAATGACACAAAGTATGCTGTAGAAAAGATGAGTATTTGCAGTACCAGAAAACCTGTCTAATGCTACCAAAGCGTTTCTCAGTGACAAGATGGTTCACAAGGAGAACCATATGCAGGATTATCTTTGGACATAAACCACAACTTTTACTTTTGCATAGTGTACCCACACACTGCACTGACACAGGTCAAGAGGTAGAACTGAATCTGTTTAAGCGAATAGATTTATGTGAGCAAAGGCAATAAAAGGGAGAGTGGGAGAAGGCTGCAAAAATGACAATATTCTGAGGCATTTGTCCTTGATTTCAGAATCAAAGATTGCACGTGATTTGGGGAAACTGTGCAATTGGTTAGGACCACCTGGTGAGTCTGGGAGGCAGCACTTGTGTGTTGGTGACTATCTGATGACTGACCGAATATGGTGCTTAGGAGATTTTTGCAAAGTTTGATCTTCCTTAAAGTATGTGTTATCTCCCTCCAACTATTAGCTATTGGTGATGTGCTGAACTGCTTGGATTCTGCTTAATTATTCTTTTTTTTTTTTCCCCCTCTCCGTCCAGTGGTTTTTAATTGGCAACACATCGTACAAAGTCAGTGCTGCCAGTTCTTTCTACTTCAGTGGTGTGTTTGTTGGAGCAATCTCCTTTGGGCAGCTCTCAGATCGCTTTGGGAGGAAGAGAGTCTATCTCACAGGTAACCACGGCCACCTAACAAAATGAATGAAGGTGTCTTGTCTTTGAAGATCAGTGGCAAGAGCACAGTTTATGCTGAGAGCTCGATACGCAGTGGTGAATCATATGCTGTGATTTTTGTTTTTTGTTTTGTCCTTCCAGTATACTTCAGGAACATAAGTAGGGACAAGAAATTAATAACTGACTATTCAATCACCATCTGAATATCTGGGATGTGTTCTGGGTTTAGGAATCATACCATAAGGGGTTACATGTCATGCTCATGGGATCTCCACAGGCTACAATTAATATTTCTAGTTTTTTGTTAGCATTGTTCTTACATGTATAACCTTCTAGGAATTTGTTGCACCTTTTATCTTCTGTCTGCATGATTTAGTTTTTATGTATTTGTGGTCCTCATTGAGTTTTAAAGCTCAAGGCTTTTTACTGTCCCCAGATCAAACAGCATTTGGAACTTCATTTTGTGGATGTATTTATAAAGTTGTGTGTCAATGAATGGGCATGTAGAATTAAAAAAATGATATATTTTTTTTAAAGGAACAACCTCATTCAAAGCAGGTACAAGTGGGCCTGCTATGCAGTGCAAACTCCCTGTGTACTGTCCCCTGGTAATGTTTCTCTCACCTAGTTTGTATAGACTGCTTTCCAAGAATGAGGGGAGATATTTGGTCATATATTTAATCTATGGTTTCTGTATGGGGATAAGCATCAAGCCATCTTAACTGGAGCCAGACAGTAGTTCTGAGTGTATGGAAAAAAAATTGTTTGCCATGAACTGAATATTATGGTTTAGTACTGCAAATTAGGTATCAGAAACCACTGCTTTTGTGTGTCCCCCTTTTATAATACTGACTTTAGTACTTAAATTTCTGCCCAGACCTGTGTTGTAGTTGCTGACTGTGATTACTTAGGGCAGATGCCACTGAACATCAAGTAAAGATAAATGCTTCTGTCTTTCTTTAGGCACTCTTCTGAAATGAAGCTTTTTGCCTTGTTTTCCAGGTTTTGCGCTTGACATCTTGTTTGCCATTGCAAATGGATTTTCGCCTTCATACGAATTCTTTGCCATCTCTCGCTTCTTGGTAGGGATGATGAATGGTGGGATGTCACTGGTGGCCTTTGTTCTATTGAATGAGTGTGTGGGTGCTGCCTACTGGGCGTTAGCAGGTAAAGTTTGAGTACCAGTGTCTTTGCTGTCAGAATACAGAGATTTCAGTCTCTCACACCATTTGAGACACACCAAAGCTAACACCATAGCAGTTGCAAACTTAATTCTGCTTGAGCATCTGTGTGACCACAGTCTCTGAGCTCTGCTTTGTTCAGTATGAACCTTAGAGAAACACAGGTGATGACTTGGGGCCATTCAGATTTCTGCATCACTCAAGCTGACGAAGGTCTAGTTGAAACATCCTCTGTGAATGTCACACAGCAAAATACTCATCCAAGGTTCATGAGAGCTGAGCAATATCCATCAAAATTTTGGACTCTGCTAAACAGAGATTAGTGTTTGTATGCTAAATATCACTTCTTTCATTCCTGGCAGTTCTCAAGAAGAAATCAAAAGTGGTTTTATATAATAGGATGGTGAGGTGACTGTTGTTTATATAAAAAAAAAAAAGTTGTCCCATGTGGTAATCAACCCTGGAATTTAGAACAGAAGATACAGACACCCTTAACTGCCATGGTTGCTCATGTTGACGCTGTCCTTCAGATACAATGTGTGTAAATTGTGGTGTTACAGCTCTGGGGCCAGACTTACCCAGTCAGTCAAGCGCCAACGAAATGCTATGCTGAGATTGTTTTAAAACAGGGTATCTTACAAGTCATGAGCTACAAATGAATACTATGCATTCCTGAAAATACTAGTTTTGCAATGGTTTTTGGTATTTATTTTTACACATAGAAAGCTGCAACATACATATATTTAGAATGACAAGACTTAATTGTTTATGGGGCTTTGGGTGAGTAGGATGTAGAACTGTGCTTTTTGGACTTATATTGATCTTTGCAATTAGATGTAATACTTCTGCCCTGCGTGGGTGAAGGACACAATATTCTTTGGTCAAATAGTGGTGGTTTTGCCTGTGTTGCTGAATTTTTCTTAACTAAGTGCCGGTTTCTGTCTGTTCCCATGTGTTGAGAGTTATTAATGTTCCTTAAAGGAGTTGATAATGTTTTGTTTTGTTTTTAAATGTATGTTAGGATCTATTGGTGGCTTGTTCTTTGCTGTGGGAATTGCCCAGTATGCTTTATTAGGGTACTTCATTCGTTCCTGGAGGACTTTGGCGGTTGTGGTTAACCTGGAAGGAACAGTCGTCTTTCTCCTCTCTCTGTAAGTTATTTTTCAAACTGAGTTTTGTCAAGAAAGATGTCAAAAATAAAACAAACAAACAAACAAAAAAAACCCCAATGAACAAACCAAACAACTAAGTCAAGATACCTTTCTAGGATGGCATGAAATGGTTAGGAAAGCTAAAGCCGTGATAATTAGTTAATTAGTTAATTAATCTGGCCAGGGACATCACGGGTGGCAAGAAAAGCTTCTATAGGTATGTCAGTGATAAAAGGAGACTAGGGAAAATGTGGGCCCTCTCCAGAAGGAGACGGGAGACCTGGTTACTTGGGATATGAAGAAGGCTGAGGTACTCAATGACTTCTTTGCCTCAGTCTTCCCTGGCAAGTGCTCCAGCTGCGCAGCCCAAGTCACAGAAGGCAGAGGCAGGGACTGGGAGAATGAAGAACTGCCTGCTGTAGGACAAGATCAGGTTCAAGACCATCTAAGGAACGTGAAGGTGCACAAGTCCATGCGACCTGATGAGGTGCATCTGTGGGTCCTGAAAGAACTGGCAGATGACGTTGCCAAGCCACTATCCATCCTATTTGAGTGGCAGTCTGGTGAAGTTCCCATCGACTGGAAAAGGTGAAAAATAACCCCAATTTTTAAAAAGAGAAAAAAGGAAGACCTGAGGAGCTAAAGGCCACTCAGTCTCACCTCTGTGCCTGGCAAGACCATGGAGCAGATCCTCCTGGCAGCTATGCTAAGGCATATGGGGGAAAAAAGGAAGTGATTGGTGACAGCCAACATGGCTTCACTTGAGGGCAAAACATGCCTGACAAATATGGTGGCCATCTGCAATGGGGTTACAGTGTTGGTGGATAAGGGAAGAGAAACTGACGTCATCTACCTGGACTTGTGCAAAGCATTTGACACTGTCCCACACAACATCCTTGTCTCTGTATCGGAGATACATGGATTTGATGGATGGACCAGTCAGTGGATAAGGAATTGGCTGGATGGTCACGCTCAGAGTTGCGGTCAATGGCTTGATACCCAAGTGTAGACCAGTGATGAGTGGTGTTCTTCAGGGGTTGATACTGGGGCCGGTGCTGTTTAACATCTTTGTTGGTGACATGGACAGTGGGATTGAGTGCACTCTCAGCAAGTTTGATCACAGCTGTGTGGTGTGATCAATCAACATGCTGGAGGGAAAGGATGCCATCCAGAGGGACCATGACAGGCTGAGTGGTGGGCCCATGTGAACCTAATAATGTTGAACAAGGCCACGTGCAAGGTCCTGCACATGGGTCGGGGCAATGCCAAGCAGAAGTACAGGCTGGGTGGAGAATGGATTGGGAGCAGCCCTGAGGAGAAGGACTTAAGAGTGTTGGTGGATGAGAAGCTCAATGTGAGGTGCAATGTGCGCTGGCAGCCCAGAAAGCCAACCGTGTCCTGGGCTGCATCCAAAGAAGCATGGCCAGCAGGTCAAGGGAGGTGATTCTGCCCCTCTACTCTGTTCTTGTGAGACTCCACCTGCAGTACTGCATTCAGCTCTGGGGTCCCCAACACAAAAAGGACATGGACCTGTTGGAGCGGGTCCACAGGAGGGCCACGAAGATGATCTGAGGGCTGGAGCACCTCTCCTATGAAGACAGGCTGAGAGAGTTGGGGCTGTTCAGCCTGGAGAAGAGAAGGCTCCGGGGGGTTCTTATTGCAGCCTTCCAGTACTTAAAGGGGGCCTACAGGAAAGCTGCAGAGGGACTTTTCACAAGGGTGTGTAGTGATAGGATAAGGGGCAATGGCTTTAAACTGAAAGAGGGCAGATTTAGATTAGATCTACGGAAGAAATTTTTCACTCAGAGGGTGGTGAGGCATTGGAACAGGTTTCCTTGAGAACTTGTGGCTGCCTCATCCCTGGAAGTGTTCAAGGCCAGGTTGGATGAGGCTTTGAGCAACTTGATCTTGTAGAATGTGTCCCTCTCTGAGGTAGGGGGTTGAAACTAGATAATCTCTAAGGTCTCTTCCAACCAAAACCATTCTATGATTCTATAACTAAGGTATTTCTCTCAACCTCTACCACCTCATATTCTGTACTTTCTTTAAGTAGCAGTTCTGCAGTGTTTGAAGATGTAAGTGCACGTTGTGTTGTATGTGCATTGTTATTGTCGATGGGAACAGCCTCTAGAGTGGTGTAGAAGCACATCCTGTTCTTTAACTGGTATATGTAGATGATCTAAACTGTTCTCTGGTGTGCTACAAGACACTGTAGATATATGTTAAAAGATACAGAAATGTTTTTGCGCTTATGCGGTAACATAATGTTTCTCTTTTAACTATGCTTACACAAAAGGAACCGCATCAAAATTACTTGCACATACTGTCTTAAAGGTGACATGCAAAAGAAAAAATGGACAACTTCCTTTTGTTTTTCAAATATAGTTAGGAAAGAATAGGAAGAAGACTTCTTTATTAATTTAGTAAGGGGTTTGTGTTTGTGGACTTTCACACTGAAAGCTATATAGAATCACAGAGTCGTTTTGGTTGGAAAAGACCTGTACGATCATGGAGTCCAACAGTTAACCTCGCGCTGCCAAGCCCACCACTAAACCATGTTCCTAAGCACCACATCTACACTAAATACCTCCAGGGTTGGTGATGCCATCACTTCCTTGGGCAGCCTATTCCAGTGCTTGACAATCCTTTTGGGGAAGAAATCTTTCCTAATATTCAATTTAAACCTCCTGTGGTGCAACTTGAGGCTGTTTACCCTTGTTGTATTGCTCGTTACTTGGGAGAAGAGGCTGACACCAACCTCACTACAACATCCTTTCGGGTAGTGGTAGAGAGCGATAAGGTCTCCCCTTTTCTTCAGGCTAAAGAACCCCAGTTCCCTCAGCCACTTCTTGTAAGGCATGTGCTCCAGACCCTTCACCAGCTTCATTGCCTTTCTTTGGGCACACTGTACCACCTCAATACCTGTCTGGTAGTGAGGGACCCAGCACTGAACACAAGGATTTGAGACGTGTCCTCACCAGTGACAAGTACAGGGGGGCGATCCCTTCCCTAGTCCTGCTGGCCACACTATTTCTGATACAAGCCAGGATGCCATTGGCCTTCTTGGCCACCTTCTGGGCATGCTGCTGGCTCATATTCATCTGGCTATCAACCAACACCTCCAGGTCCTTTTCTGCCAGGCAGCTTTCCAGCCACTCTTCTCCAAGCCTGTAGCATTGCATGGGGTTGTCATGACCCAAGTGCAGGACTTGACACTTGGCCTTGTTGAGCCTCACACAATTGGCCTTGGCCCATTGATCCAGCCTGTCCAGATCCCTCTGTAGAGCCTTCCCACCCTCAGGTAGATGAACATTCCCACCCAACTTGGTGTTGTTTGCAAACTTACTGAGGGTGCACTGGATCCCCTCATCCAGGTCATTGATAAAGATATTAAACAGAACTTGCCCCAGTACCGAGCCCTGGGGAACACCACTTGTGACTGGCCACCAATTGGATTTAACTCCATTCACCACAACTCTTTAGGCCTGGCCATCAAGCCACTTTTTTCTCCAGCAAAGAGTGCACCTGTCCAAGCCATGAGCAGCCAGTTTCTCCAGGAGAGTGCTGTGGAAAATGATGCAGCGTGCTCTTTTCTTATATACTTCCTGACAGCAATTTCGCAGTAACTGAAAGAAGGAAATAACTTTAGCTGCTGTTTAAACTTAAGGGTTTTTTTTCCTTCCAGCATCTATTAAACTTCAGTAACTGACTTTTTGAATAAAGCTCTTTGCTCAAGAGTCAACACACCCTTTCAAAGGAAGCATCGGAACTCAGGGAAAGGTCTTTGAGGCTAGTCATGAGGTGAAGGACAGAGATGACTCTTCTGATATTTCAAAACTTAGTGCTGTTTGGGGCCTTTGTGAAAAAAAATTTTAACTTTCAGATTGATAGGTACAATTTTTTGAAGCGCTTTGTGCTTAGGACTTCAGAGCTGTGCTCAGAGGCCTATCTTACTGTAAGAAAGGATTTTTTTATTCCAAATTCCACACTGCCTCTCTCACATTGCTCAAAAATTACTCTGTGCACAAAATACCACCAGTTTTTTTTTGTATCATGGGGAAGAAAACATGTTCCTTTCTAAGCTCTTTTCTTTTATAAAAGCACAGAATCACTTTCCTTTAAATTTAAAGGAAAAATGTCACTTCTGGTCAGAGACAAAAGTCTTAAGCTTCTGGCAAAAGACTAAAGTTTAAATTAGTTCTGGAAGTCTGAAAGTAGTAAAAGAAGATTTGTTTTCTAGGCTGTGTTGGAGTGTTAGACCTACCAAGTGAACAGCGCACTTGAGGAGCAAGAGCATGACCTTTGCACAGCCTCTGCCTTCCTGTCTACAGGAGAGAATTTGGGAAAAAGTTAGAAAATGAGAAATGAAAGACCACTAGTTGGTGTTACAAAAACATCTTGTGTTACTTGTAGTAATGCAGTACCTCCTTAATTCTGAATTCTCCGAAGATACTGTGACTTGTAGTGTTGTATGTATAAGTATGTGTGTGTATATTTATATACTCAATGTAATTTCTTGGTATCTAAATTGCTTATGACTTACGTTCCCTTTCCTTTCAACATGCTTTGTCTCTTTCAATAAGTGAATTTTATACCTGAAGATTGTTTGAAAAATTCTTTGTTACACTGAAATGTATTTCAGCCTTCTTTCCATAGGCAAGTCCAGCCTTGTAGGAAAGCAAAGCCCTAAAGCTGTCTGTGTGCGTGTTTGTGTTTCAGATTCGTTCCAGAGTCCCCCCGCTGGCTCTATTCACAAGGCCGGCTGAACGAAGCAGAAGATGCCCTCTACCTCATTGCAAAGAGGAACCGCAAGCAGAAGTGCACTTTTTCGTTAAAACTCCCAGCAGAGAGGAGCTCCAGAGAGGCTGGCAGCTTCTTGGATCTGTTCCGATATAAGATTCTCCTGGGACGCACCTTGATCATGATGTTTACCTGGTACTTGAAATGCTTTGTGGGCCCAGCTGTGCTGCTGTTGCCTCTAAATCTGTGAGAACATGCTGCTGAGAGCTGGCTCATCCTGCAGATTGTGCTTAGTCTCAGCCTGTACTGTTAGGGACACCCTACCTAAAAAGGATCCTATTATAGTATTTCCTTAGTGTGTTTCTAAGATGAAGCCATTTTTACAGTCTAGTTCTGAGGTGTTTCACCTTTGCATTTCTGTCACCTTTGCATTTCTATCATGCTTTTTGAGTCTCAGCATGGTTGAGAACTGCCTCTTCCTTTCTGACCCTCAAGGGCTGCTGAGATCAGTCGTGCTGGCTGCCTCTGGTGCAGTGCCCTCTCAGTACTTTCAGTCACATGGGTTGTGTGCAAGGAGCCCATTTGCAGGTGGGTGGCCTGCCTTGTCTAATGAGTGTGTTCATTCTCTTAAGAGAAAGCGCTGCCAGTGCTAGCAGTTGCCATATTAAGGAACAGGAACCCTGATGGTACCTCTAGTCACTAGCAGAAACAAAACAAGGACTTTTGGAGTTAAATTTCAGATAGCTCTGCTAGCCCTGAGCTCTTTTGCTGCCACTTTGATATAAACCTTATGTATGACATGGTATATGAGTCCTCTGGTGTTACTGTTCATACAGTTGCTTTTATGATGCATATAGTTGGGGAAGATACATTGATAAAAAAAAATGGCATTATTTTGTCAACAGACAACATAGAGCTGTTTTCCTGTTCCTTTCCCAAATGCTTACTGCAAAATAGTTGATTTTTCCTTAAATGAGAATTGCCGATTTCCTGCAGAATGAATTAGTGACCTGTTCCTTTCCTCTCTGTAAGGATGATACCAGCCAAGGTTACAAAAGAAAAATAAAAAATTAAAATTGGAGGATGGATAAAACTGGACCAGAGCGTAGAAATTAAGGTGGAATTGTCATCTGAATTGTTTGAGAAAGGGTTTGCACACAATTGGAAAAGCATGGACGAAGGTGAAACCTGATAAAAAGGACAAAGACCTCATTTCTCAAGTCAAATATAATCATTATCATCTTTTAACTTTATTCAGGTTGATGCACATTCTTCTTAAGTGTAGTCTTAAGTTTAACTGAATAGTAAGTCAGGAATTGGGTCTGTGCAGAGACAAAATGGTTTCTTTACCTAGAAAGCATCACACGCTTGTAGAGGGACATTTCAGATCGATCTTCTGAAACACTAAATATAATTTCCAGGGTATGGTGCCAGACCAGTGCTTTGACTTGGCAGGCAAAGCAGCAGCTCTGATTTTACTCTTTTTCTATCTTTGCAGGTTTGTGTGCAGCTTGGTTTACTACGGTCTTACCCTTAATGTGGGTGACTTAGGTGGAAGTATTTATGCCAATTTAGCCCTTTCAGGGTTGATAGAAATCCCAGCATACCCAATCTGTATTTACTTAATTAACCAAAAATGGTAAGCATGAAATTTATTAACCCATTCAGGGTTTTTACAATTTCTCTCTGATAGGTTTCCTGTGTATTGCATCTCTTAGTTTATATTTATTGTGTGGGGCTTCCTGCTTCGATTTGAAGGTGCCATTGAGATATCTTTAGTTCAAATAACAGTTTAACTTGTTCTCAGTAGCTCACTTGTTAATGAGCTGTCTAAATCCAGCTCGGAGATGAGACTGATCTCCTAAATCAGTCCAACCTAGTTGGGCTGACTGCACACTAAGCCAAGATGGCCTTCTTCCCGCCTCTGTCTTGTAATCCCCGTTCTTGCTGTTATGTGAAGGCTCTTGCAGCTAAACTCAACTGAAGCTGTTGTGTGGTTTTGTGTAATAGTTCCTGTGTGCGCTAGTATATAAGCAGAGCTGTTGGTTCAGAGATTTAGCCTTTTCCTGAGCTGTGATGCTCTGGACAGAGCCTTTCACTTTTTGTAGACTTCACCTCCCAATCTCTCCTCTACATGTCTCTCGAAGAGCTTTACAAATGTGCACACACAGTGGGAGGCAAATCAAAATCCCTAGAAATTGCCAGCCGCTGCATAAAAACTTCTTGGTGCTCACTTTGTCAGGAGCGCAGTAGAAGTTTGTTTAAAAACAGTGTGAGAGGAAGTGTTGGTGTGGGAGATGGCATTCAGAAATTCCAACTGCAAATAAAGAGACAGCGTGAATTTGGAGGACTCATTGCTCTGCGAACTACACATTTAATGAAGAATAAAGCTTTGTTATCCTTACACATCAGGTTTGGTCGGAAGCGAACATTGAGTGCGTTTCTGTTCCTGGGAGGACTGGCGTGTCTTATAGTCATGTTTCTTCCTAAAAAGAAAGGTAAGTATTTCCTTTTGTTTCTGTAGTGTGTGATAAGAATTGGTAAACACACCATCCTACAGCCTAAGAATTTGATGGTTGCCAGTAATTAGGCCCATACCACATGGAAGTCTCAATTTTTGAAGCCGGAGAAGCTAATTTGCAAAAAGGATAAGCAGCAACCTTCCTGAGACCTTAAGGAAAGCTTGTTAAAAAGGTTTGGATTTGAACTTTTGTCTTTAGATTCTACCCTTCACTTCTGATCACATCAGTCACTCCTTTCCAGTGTTTCTGACTTATCCCAAGAAACATCATTCTTTGGGTTATCTCCATTAGCCCCATGATATGTCAATTTATGTAGTACCTGTGCAACTTGTATACACCTCTGCAAGTGAAAGACCAACGCCAAAAGAGCCTAAGAATTGAATCATTGAATCCATCTTTTCCTCACTGCTCTGTAAAGTTCAAGACTGGTGTGATTGTGGTATTGGTAATGTGGCTGCATAACTGTGGCTGTTTAGGGAGCACTCTGATAATCTTCTGAAGCAAGGGCTATTTAAGAAACATGAAATGAAATGTCTTTTTTGTGAAGACGCGCTAATGTTAATTTCTTTGTTTTCAAAATGATAGGAACAAAATTGCACAGTGAGCAATTTTTCGTTCTAAAACTAGGTACATAAATTCATCTCAGTTTGTAAGATTTGTGCATGTATAACACCTGTCAAAAGGAGAGAAAATCCTTCAAGTGTTTGAAGCGTGATTCAAGAAGATTAAACATGATGAGAGAGTGCATAAGTTACTCTAGATCATAGAATCATAGAATGGTTAGAGTTGGAAAGGACCTCAAACATCATCTAGTTCTAAGCCCCCTGCCATGGGCAGGGACACCCTCCACTACACCAGGTTGCCCAAAGCCTCATCCATCCTGGCCTTGAACACTTCCAGGGATGGGGCAGCCACGACTTCTCTGGGCAACCTGTTCCAGTCCCTCACCACCCTCTGAGTGAAACATTTCTTCCTTATATCTAATCTAAATCTCACCTCTTTCGGTTTAAAGCTGTTGCCCCTTGTCCTATCCCTACATGCCCTTGTAAAAAGTCCCTCTCCAGCTCTACTGTAGGCCCCTTTTAAGTACTGGAAGGCTGCAATAAGATC